GTGAATATCTAGCTAGAAAGAAAATGTAATAAATTGAAATTTGGTGCTACATTGAAAGAAAACTTCAAGTCTCTTGAAAAAGAGGGCTTGAACTTTAATTAATGAAACTTGGAGGTAGTAACTATATATAATCGAAAGCTTTCAGCTACTTTTGCTATATGTGTAAAATATGTGATCTATGATCTTTGGTTGACTTGTTATGTCTCTTACTTGATTTTATGATTTGGTGACTAAACTATGTGCCTTTGTGAAATATGTGAAAATATGTGTACTAATATGCTTATGTGTAAGCTAACTTTGAATATGTGAAATTAAAAGTATACACTAACCTCACTTGCACGTTTTTAAAGTTGGAAAATCTTGCGAAACTTAGATCGAATAAGCACGGGGTATGAGGAGCCGGTACCCCAAAATTGAGATGAAGAGTGTGTGGTTGGATTCCACGTGTGAAACGGGTTCCAAATAAATGAAGGCTTATTCTATAATGTTTTGCTTGATTTTTCAAAGGATATCCGAGCAAAAATGTTTTTCTCACACACCTAGTGAACTTACTTTGAAATTGATGTATGTGTAAAAGAATGACTCCCTTGTAAGGGATCTACTCTTATTCCTTATGAAATGATGAAAAGAATGTCTAAGAGGTAAAACGAGAAGGTCTAAGAGGTAAAACGAGAAGGTAAAGGTAAATTGGCAAAGTCCCTCAATGAAATAACGATTGAGGTAAAATCAAAATGTTTATATTGTGTATATGTGGGATTTGAGATTGTATGTATACATATATATAGCATAAATATATGTTTGATTGCCTATGTGTATTTGATACTTCTTCGGAAATTCCCTTCTCATTGAGTCCAAAAGACTCGTAGGTGTTGAAATGCTTGTAGGTACGTCGTAAAGTTGGAGTCGAGTTCGAGGATCGAGGGATGTGTTCATATGGAAGGCGTGTGGATCTTGTGTGCTCTAAATCTAGCCATATTGTTCTACTTATATAGTTTAATTTTAAAGACTTTCGATACCGTCTTAGATATCTATTGTCGTACTCTTCCACCCCCAGGGGATCTTATTAGTAAGAACATTACATTTAACAATACTTAATATTATGATTACCTCTTTTGCCAAAATTTCTATATAATGCTCATCGATTAGTTATATATTGTGTTCTTCCATGTTGTTTGATAATACGAATTAAACATAACTTATGTATAGAATTGCATGTAATTTTACGGAGTCATAGGTCTTCATGTTACAATGATTGAGGTAGGTCTTTTGCATCATCTGCATAATCCATGAATTCATTATGAATTATTCTCCGTAAATATACACATGCAGAGTCATTTTAGGACATGCATCAATAAGTGAAGTTTATTTTACTCAAATGAATCCATTTAACTTGAAGTATGTTCCTAACGCACTTTTCTGGTTTTTTATTAAATTTGCTAGTGTTTAGAACAGTAGGGAATTTATCAAGAATTTTCGAAGCTCCCTCCCGTGTTCTTGATTTTCAACTGTACAGTTGCGTGTATTTAATTATTTCTCTCAAATGGCTAATGATATTTTAAAATTGTTTCAAGGGAGTGATTTAGACCCATATGAGAGTATGTGGTTAAATTTTCAAAGTTTTTCCAGGAAGGGTTTAAGATAAATTAATTTTCGAAGTTGATCTGCCTAATCTGTCTGAAATTCCGCTCTTTACTCTTGATAAGTTTGATTACTAGTCATGCATACCTCTTTTGTCATAGTTGGTTAAGTGTATATGATACGGTAATATGTGGGCACTCTTCCTGTTATTTTAAAAAGAAAAATTTATGTGTAACTTTCTATTTATAGAATGTGGTTTTTAAAACGAACATTCCACACTCATTATTTTCTATAACTCTCCCTCTAGCATATTCTAAATCACTAAGTAAGTGTAACTAGAAAAGGGGTGTCACAATTTCAATATTGTAAATTTACGAATGAAAAAATTTGAATTTTAGTTTCATTTTTTGTTTTACTTTATGTTCTAACATCTATAGTTAATAAAAAGTGTAACAATTATTCGAATTTTAATTATAATTTTATAGTTTATCTAGTTATTTTAATTAGTATATGACTAATATAATAATCCCACTTTTTACTTATGAGAATCACAAAATGTATTCAAAAGTTAAAAAGAAATCCCAATTTGAATGTCTAAATATTTAATTATTTTTTATTTTGAAAATTTAAATTTAAGTAACTGAAATAAATTTTCAAGTCAATAATTATTATAAAAAAAAAAAAGTTGGATGTTTTAGTCTTGAAAATAATATTTTTTTTTCTTGCGAATGTTTAACGTATTTTTTTGAAATAATTGATATTTTTATTTATATTAGGGTCGTATAGTAATTAAAATGTAAACTTAAACATAAATCAAAATAATATTTTTAATAAATATTGTATTTTATGAAATTTGTTTTTGAAAGATTGTTGAAAAGATATTATTATACATGCATCTTTATATAAATAGCTAGAAGGGTACTTTGGGAAGAAAGAATGCCACATCATTCAAAGTCAAAGTTTTACTATTAAATTCATTAATAAGGGCGGTATGTGTTACATTTCTAACTTTAAGGGGGTAAGTGTTACCAACCTTATAGTTTAAGGGTGTAAATTGAATTTAACCTTATATTTAAAGAGTGTAAGCGAATTTCTGTTTCAAATTATTGATTCACAAAACTTCTTTAAAATTATGTGTATTTAACAGAAGGTAAATCATTTTATATAGTTTTAGAAATAAATTTTCAAAGTTCTTGAATAATTGAGTTAGGAACTTTTCAGTTGAAACAATAGTATTTTCTAGACTCCTGTTAGATCATATGAACCATGAGTGTAGATGACTTCAATCAATGACATCACTCCTATTCTTGTCGACGCAACCGAAAATCAAACAATTTCAAGGGCACCGACGTTGCTACTTGGAAGAACAAAATGTTCTACCTTACTACCTTCAACTTAGAAACAATGCTCAATGAAGATGCACCTAAGGGGTGGAAGGAGAAACACCCGAAAAACAACAAGGAAGTCTTCCTAGCCTCGATGCATGGAGTCACTCTGATTTCCTATGCCGTAACTACATCTTGAATTGCTAGGACGAACCGCTGTACAAGGTTTATAGTCATGTAAAGACTGCTAAACTTTTGTTGATAGTTTGTTCAAGAAAAACAAGTCCGAAGGTTCGGGTTATAGGAAATTTATAGTGGATAAATTCCAATGTTATCGAATGGTCGATAGCAAAACTGTGAGTGAGCAAGTGAACAAACTCCAACTCATGATCTATGATATTCCCACCGAGTGTCATGAGGTAAGTGAATCTCATCAAGTTGCTGCCATGATTCGAACACCTAGTTGGACGGAGCTCAAACACTAGCTAAGGCATAAGAAATCAGTTATCAAATGGACAATAGAGGAACTCATAGCCAGGCTCAAAACCGATGAGGATGATAAATTTACCGACAAGGGTGGTCAATATGTGGCTAAGGCACACTTAAATGCAGAGTTCGAAGTAGAGCGAAAACCGGAAGGGTCTTACATTCAACAAAAGACCAAACAATAAGAAGAACAAGAGGTTCACTGGAGCATTCTTTGTTCGTGGAAAGAACGGACACATGTGATTGCCGCCACCGCAAAGAAAACAATAAAAGTGAAACCAATGTCACCGTGGACTTAGTGCTTCCTAGAAATTCCGACAACGACAACATGCACTTTTTCGGCAGTTGTAACAAAGGCCTACCTCATTAGCGATACTCGAGGATGGTGGGTAGACACCGGGGCTATACGTCAAATTTGCTATGACAATAGCATGTTCTCCTCCAACAAAAAGTTAGAGCGAGAACAAAAGTTCTTTATGTGAAATAATGCTTATTCTGTGGTTGAAGGACAAGGAACTGGTCCTAAAATTCACTTATGGGAAAGATGTTACTTTGAACGATGTGCTACAAGATCGGATATTAGGAAGAACTTAATCAGTGGTTTTGTCCTAACCAAGAAAGGTTTCAAATTGTCTTTTGTGTCGGATAAATTTGTGCTAACCAAATGCGGGTTCTACGTAGGAAAGGAGTACCTATGTGACGATCTATTTAAGGAAAATGTAGCCGTTATTGGCAAGAACTAAGCTATTAAATAAAATAAGTAATATTTAGCTTATTTGATAAATTTATTTTTGTGTTATGATTAGTAAGATCATATTATCTTTGTAAAATTTGTTTGTGTTAAAGTCTGTAAACAAAGATTTTTATTCTAAAAGAATTGGACAAAAATTCTTTCTCTTATAATAGGTGTGAAATAATTCAGAATCACTCAACACAACCAAGTCACTCAATTATAACTCAATTATAACTCAATTGTACAAAGAGGAATCACTTACTCTCAATGCAATTAACTAGCAAAATATTTTTGAACGTAAACAATCATCTCTCATTTAATTCATTGGAAGGGGGTTTATATATGGGTTTCGGAACATCCCTCCAGAACATAGGAAATTAAACTTTGAATGACTTCTCAATTTCTTATTCTAGAAAATAAACAAAGTTGACTTTTGACTCATGACATAAATAGAAGATGGCCTAATTATCTCATAACGATAACGACAATGCAAAATTAGATTGATAAAATAAGTAAAACACTTAGAAATACCAAAAGACAGAAAGCTATCAATTTTCCGAAGTGCAGTTGGCAGACTGAAAAATTGAGCATAACTTCTTCCTCTTACCTTTGTTTTGTAAACCGTCTTTTTGGTTGTAAACCGACTTCCATAGCTTTCTAACCATATATTATACAAAACTTAACTCTTCTGAAATCACAACAGGTGATTTTTCCAAGTTGACTGATTTGCAGAGACCAATTTTGTCATCAATTGTGTGTATTGGCAAGGCATGCTTGAATATCCAAGATTAATGATTTGTCTCATCTCCTCCCATACTTTGATTCACCACTGATTCTTCCACCTCAATTCATTTAATAAACTAATTCAAATTTGTACTAAATTGTAAGCCAAATGAATTAATAGGTGGGAGTTCAATTTAATTTACCAATTTGATAGTTGTGGTGGATTGTTTAGGGTGAAGTCCTACCTTGACGTTTGTGAGCAAGAGCCTATGGTGACCCGACCCGAAAGGGCGTGATTTGTGTGTGGAAATGTCACATTGCCTGCACAGCACAACTCGGTCCTCCAAGCAAAACAACCACCCCAATGTTTCCTATCAAATCAATTCTCATAAATAAATAAATACACTTTTTATGTTAAAAAATTCTTATAATAAATAATATCAAATTAAAAAAAATAAAAAATTATTGTGTTCTAAATTGAATTCTGTTTAAAGAAAGTGTGTATGTATGTACCTGACAAGTATCACACCTGGGCCTCAGGGCGGTGGAGAGCGGAAGACGCTGGTGGTTGGTGGCCATCGTATTTCCTGCATGGTTTCTGAGATCGCAGCCGCCGCATAGCGCCGCCTCTTCCGTACAGCAAACCACCTCCGCCGCCGCAGCTTCACAGGCATCGCACTGTATCTTCATGGTTAAGTTTTATTAAATGACTTTGGAAACAAACAGGGCAGAATTAAGGAAGTGGAAGGGAAACAGAGATGTTTGGATTTGTATACAGTTAGTTGGCCAATTGGAGTGCTGCTATGCTAGGCGGCAACTTCTAATAAGATGCACCGCCAATTTCTTCATGTAAAAGTACAATGAATTTCAGAACCGGACCGGCGAACCACTCACTTTGGCGGTCTGACTCAACACCGAAAACCGGAATCATTGGGGGAAAACAAAATCTGGTTCGACCCCGTTTTTTGTGCGGTGGATCTGGGCAGGGACAGAGAAAATACAAACAAGTCCTACTTAAAGCTCTTATTACTAAAAAGTCCCAACAATTTATTTTGTATCGAAAGAGTCCCATAACAAAAATATTAGTACTAATTTATCCAATTAGACTTTTTTTAACTCTTATTAATTTCTTATTTATTTAATCGACTAGATTATCTTTCAATGTACTAAATATTCTTTCAATTTTATATTAATCGTCGCTCTGGACAAAAAAAAATTATCTTGTATTATGTATCACTTTATAATGAGTAAATTGCAAATATCATCCCTATCCCTGTGTAAAACTCAATTGTCAAATATCCCCGTAAAAAAACAATTCACTCATACCTCCATATGAATATTTTTTGAAGCACGCTGCACCAATTGGGAGTTTAATTGTTGACCAAGGGCGAAAGTACAAAAATACCCTAGGGTTTTTTTGCAATTAGTAAAATTTACTGGTGTTTAACAATTTTTTTAATATTTATTGTTTTAAATAAATAAAATATATAATAAATATAAATAATAATAAGAAAAATTGAAGGATAAAAGAAAAAGAAAAAAGAAAAGTAGTCATCTTCTTCGCAGCACCCCCAAACTGTAGACCAGTACACCACCCTACCCCACTCACGACTCACAGCTCCATCCACTATTTCTCCCAGCCTCCGTCCATTCCGCCGCTCACCATCAATTCATACCTCTTGCACCACCACCACCACCACTGTGTTTTTAAGATCCACCGCCCACAACCTCGAGCAAGACGTCGTCATTCTCGGAGAAATTGGACATCAGAGAGGTGCAATAGTGTTGGAATGCGATAAAAAAAATTGCTTCAAATGGTAGGCGAAGCAACTCACATTGAAGGTGGAATTCACTTGAGATTTGAATACCCATTTATCCTTCGTTGAGGTTGATTTTGTCGATTTCTTTAATAGTTAATGTTACACAAAATTCACCGCTGCCGATTGAAGACGACGGCCATGGTTTGCCGGCGAAAATGACTGCAAATCACAGCTGGAATTTCGACGACGATCATGAGCAAAGAAGAAAAAAAAGATGTTGAGGCAACTCAGTCATTTCACACAACAAAAATGAAGAAAAATCGCACAACTAGCGCGTGTGAGACACGATTTGCCTCCAGGGTCTTAATGCTTTGACTTTGATTACACAGGGTGGTTTGAGTGAATTTTTATTTGACAAAGGTATTTGACAATTAGGTATTACACATGGGTGGTATTTGCAATTTACTCATTTATAATAGTTAATTAATTACTCTTTTTATATTGTCGTCCGTCCGTATCACCTTTCAATTGTTTCAAACACTAATTTTTATCAACAAATAACATAAGGGTCTTCCTAGGGTGAGATCCCATGTTCTAAACTTTTATGAGATACCCCATTTATATTGCGCCACGTGTCCCTGCCAAAAAATCCATTTTTTCCTCATTTACGTATTGTCGTAAATACCCTTCGTATAATTAATATTTTCGAAAAATCGGCCATTATATATTATTAATGTAATGTCAATTTTACCCTCTATATTTTTAATGCAATTTTAATTAATTTATTACTGTTTTTTTGAATGACCATAATAACCTTATACACAAACGTAATAAAAAAACTAATCGATATTATTTCCTAATTATGCTGATTTATCCCGTAATCTCTAACCAAATCAATACGTTCTCCATCTTCATCTTCGAAATCTGGTCTTACGGTTTCACGATCAATTCAATTGTTCATCATTTTTTTCGATCCATTAATTTATTCTTACTTTGCTACAAATTCGAATTGGTGAATCGTTACACTATTTCTTCAGAATACGTTTATTCAAGGACGTCTAACCCCGACGAAGTTGGTATGTTACTTGTATTTCAATAATTAGGGTTTTGGTCGAAATCCTTAATAGTTTTCTTTATGTTACTTGTATTTCAATAATTAGGGTTTTGGTCGAAATCCTTAATAGTTTTCTTACTTTAATCTCATATATTTATTGTATTGAAGATCGAAGGTCTTCTAATTGTGAATCACAAAGGAATGCTGAAGACGAAAACGAAAGTGTTATGAATTTCAATTTGCAAGGCAACACCGGCGACATTGACGAGAACGATGATCGTTTGCAATTAATTAAACACATGATGTCATTAACCTTTACTGATATACATGAGGCCGATCAATATTATTTTAGGTACGGTCAGTTAACAGGATTTGACATTCGCAAGCACTCATTGAAAAGAAAAAAAACAGATTTAAACATCGTTATGAATAGGGTTTGGGTTTGTTGTCGAGCTGGGTATCGTGACACACGCATTAAGGATTAGGATCGATCGCGTGCACCGAAAGAAGACAGGCGGTGTGGATGCCCAGCCATATTCCGTATTGCACTTGATCGTTCTACCGGAATATATCGGGTGACTACATTCAATCCCGATCACAGTCACCGCCTAGAAACGCCCGATACGAGTCATATACTACGTTGCAATAGGTAATCTAATCGTTCCGGTTTTACTTTTATATTGACATCCTTGCATGATGGTATGATATATTTTTTTCCTTATCAATTTGCCTTGTAAACTGAATCCATTGTATACTTATATAATTCCATATTGCATGCAGATTAATGAGCAGCGAAACAAAATACGTGTTGCAATTGATGACTGATGTTGAGATGAAACCAAGTCATGTTATTGATTTTTTAGATGAAGCATGTGCAGGGAGTGAAACACGTCTATTTAATCGGAAAGACGCGTACAACTATCTGAATGGGGTAAGGTTGAAAAGGATTGAAGGAGGTGATGCGAACACTGTGTTGGGTCTACTGAACGGCATGAAGGTAAATGATAAATCAATTGAGTACCAGCACAGTGTCGACGCAAACAATGCACTTACAAGAATCTTTTGGTGCGACGGGATTTCAAGAGCCGAGTATGAACATTTTGGTGATGTTATTCTATTTGATAGCACCTACAAGACCAACATCTATAGGTTTCCTATAGTGTTGTTATCTGGAGTCAATTCTCATTTGTGCACTTGTATTTTCGGAGTTGCTATTATGTACAAGGAGACGACTCAACAATACACCTGGTTGCTACAAACGTTTCAAAAATTCATGAACGGAATAGCACCCGCAGCTGTTTTGACGGATCAGGATGCAGCAATGTGCGCAGCCATTAGAGATGTTTTTCCTAAAGCAACTCATCGGCTTTGTTACTGGCATATTTCACGTAATGCCGAAACTAATATAAAAATTCCAGGATTCTCAACATGTTTTTCCAAGCTAATGAAAAGTACATGCTCTGTGGCCCAATTTGAAGCTAGATGGTCTACATTGATTGCTAAGTTCGGTGTTGCCGACCATCCATGGATACAAGACATATACTCAAAACGACATTTATGGGCAGAAGCATTTTTTCGAGGCAAGTTTTTTTCTATGATGAGAAGCACCCAACGTGCAGAGTCAATGAACGCTTCACTGAAACAGAAAGTGAGTTCTGGTTGTAGCCTTACAGATTTGTTTAGGCAGTACAACAATAATTTCTTGAAGAGGATTCGAAAGAGGTTTCACGTATTGCAGAAGGAATCTGAGAATCCACCAAGAGAAGTGAAGCGTACAGGCTTATTAAGCGGTCTTGAGAACCATGCCGGTCGCGTATGCACTAGAGCCATATTCGATTATATACAAAAGGAGCTGAAGGAGGAGGCAAACATAATTGTACTCAACTAGAGTGTACCTGTTAATCGGCGGCACACATTCATCTTTGAAGATCATAGCAAGGCAAGGCCTCGTACATTTACCACCGTAATAGATTTGGACAACGAAGAATTCCAATGCGAATGTAGTAATATAAATTCGTTTCCATATCGCTCGACTTTAAGCAAATTTGACCTACTTTCTGTGTAACGAGGAAGAACCCCACAGCCGATTGCGAATATGTAAGTTCTTTTTAATTGTGAAACCACTGCAAAATAGACATGTTTAAATCTCCATTGGTTGCATACTGTTTAATGGAAACTTATGTTTAATCGTTTGTATTAATTAATTAATTTACAAATTGTGGAGGGATAAATCAACATCGGGAAAGAGGAAAATTGAATGCTCAAATACCAGCAACAAAGTGGTGAGACTCCTTTTTTAGTTCCATGTTTTTCTTTGGTGTTATAATCAAACATAAATTCGCACAGTTTTTTTAAAATCTGATTTTTTTTGTTTTGTTAATTTCCGTACGAAAAATCATACAGAATAGGAAATCGAAATCTCTTAAAAGAGGTGTTGATACGATGCCTTCTAGTGCCATGGATGACTTCCTCAAACAATTTACGGTAAATGCATAGTGAATTTATATGTTAGTATTACTATAATTTTGTTGAATTATACGGATAATTGGCCATAAACCGTACATTTATTGACCAGACCCCGGCGAAAAGATTTGCAACAAGGTGTTCAGTGACAAAGCTGATCCGAGTAAATGAAACCCTTAATGAAAATCAGTTGGCGATATTAGACGATTTGGGGTTTGGAACTTTGGCGAGGATTAGAGATTGCGATGACATGAACCGTGATTTGTTGGAGTGTATTGTACACAACTACTGCCCCGAAACCAGTTCTATGAATTTGCTAAATGAAAAATTTCAGTTGGATGATTACGCAGTGTACGAGGCTCTTGGTATTCCATACGAAGGCGATAAAATATATCACCTTACATCAATCAAGTCTGGCACCAACTTATACGGTAAACTCTTCCGAATGAAGGGTAATGGCGTTTCTAAATTGGATACGACAAATCTCATGTCCCATTTAACTGAGACTAAGAACATCAACAATGACAAAAAATTTAAGATTATGTACTTCACCCTTTTGTTCGGTGTTTTTCTATACCCATGTGATCAATATGACATTCCAACCCATTACCTCAATCTAGTTGAGTATATTATTGAAACACCTAAAGTGAATTGGGCTTCCTTAGTTATTGACAAAATAAACCGTGGGATACATGAATGGAGAAGTAATGCAAAGACAAAATTTGTTGGTGGATGTGCATATCTAGCTACTACAGGTAATGTTATTGTTTTTACATTTAATTGTTCATATCAAGTTGATGTAATGATTTAGAATGCTAACATCAACTGACACTGATGCAGGTTATTTACCTGGGAAGAGTACGTACAAGCGGGTCAAAATATTCATTAGATCTCAGCAAAGAAGTCCCTTTCATACAACACTTGTCGAAAATGCGTTCCAAATCACTATGCAAAGAGTTGATGTCAAATGGCGGTTACGGCAACGCAATGGTAACTTCATTACAAGTTCAACGCACAACATATTTGGTCGACTAATTCCAAAAAAAAAATTTCGTATAAAAACATTATTATGCATAATAAAACTTTCAATTTCAGCTTACGAGGTTTGAGACAACTAAAGCGAATTCGATTGAATCATCAATTCCGGCTAATTCAACAAAGAGTAACAACAGCAATGACTTTGAACACCAATTATACGGTGGTCGTACATCACATGTATATCCGTGTACAAAATCAGGGTCACCCCACACGCGCAAAGTCATTCCTGCTACTGAAATTGGAATAATGCCATCAATGTTGACTTCGCGGATAACGTCACTCGAATTTTCAGTTTCACAATTGCGGAAGGACATGCAAGCAATATTATCGAGTAATGGTACCACATCACGCGTGACTGAAGCGGGGGAATTTAGTACCATTGCTACGGATATCCAGAGATGCCTAACTAAGATCCCGCAAATGGTAGAATCGACGACTGCGAGACACTACCGAAATTGCTGACTGGACAATCGGAGAAATTGGACCGCACACCATCTCTCCATAATAGGGGATCTACTTCGAAATCCACAAAGCACAACATTGAGGAAAGGGTTTGGACTTCGTCCAAACCAACAAGTTTGCCTAGAAACGAATCGCTATTGCCAAAGGTTTTAACTTTCAACGGCAGTGACAATAAAAGTGCTAACAAAAGTGTTGATGCCTCGGACACAATTGATCTCACTAGCGATGATGACAATATTGATGGTGATGAGGTACTTTACGTTGGAAACGAAGACCAATTCCAGTCTTCTGGACTGAAAAAACCTATGGATGGGGAAAGAATTATTCGCAAACTTTTCAACGCAGATTCTGATGTGAGGTGAGAGTAATTCTACTATTAAAAATATAATAATGTTACAACCTATTTCATTGGAGCTAAATAAATGTTCTATTATTTTGAACAGTAATCAGGTAGTTATGGATTTTGGAAAATGGTATATTAATAGGCAACAACTGTTGACCTTGCTCCCTGCATCTAACATTAGTGGCGCCGTAAGTCGAACCTTATTTATTTGTTTTTGATATAGTTATATAAAGCATCTGTAATTACAATATTTGTTTGCCTTATGTAAGTAATCGACTGCGTGGCGTATATGCGGACGCTGCAAATGGCTGAAAACGATGACGATCGTACCTGTTGGTACTTGCCTAGTAAATTTTCCGTACGTATTTCGTCAAAATATTTTAGTAATATGATTTTTATTTACATCTGATTTCTAATACAAAATTAAATAAACTAAACATATGTAAATTGTTGTGTACTTCAGCAAATGATGATGGAAGACAAAACCTGGAGCGTTGAAGATATGGTTGAGAAATATTTTTCAAAGGATAGAACTTTCGTTGGTTCCCTATCCACTGTTAAGAATATCCACATACCAAATAATGACAATTTGGAACATTGGTTTTGTGTCATTATAGATACTAGTAATTGTACCCGTGCGATGCACGGGACAACAAATTGCATTGTTTTGATGTTGTAAGAATATAAACAAACGTTTGATGTATCGTATGATCAAAATTCTATTATACTGGAACATCATTAAGTATACTACACACAAAAAAAAGGAAATAACTTTACTATTGAATAATTTTCCAAATGAATTGAATCAGCTAATACCAGTAGATTGAAAATTTGAACCAGGAAAAAAATCATCAACTATGTCTTTCATGTTGAGCTTAAAAGTAATTAGATTTAATAACTTAGTTAAAATAATCAAAACTAAACTATCGACAACATAAAAGGCCATCTATACATCTTGCATCGGAACTAAGCCCTTCTCCACTGCCTCATTTTCAGGCTGTTTTGCCACTGGAATTAACAATTGGAAAATTAAGAAACAAAAATAAATATAAACAATAAATTAAATATCGCATACAAACAATAAGTCTTGAAGGTCGACTTCCAATAGCTTGTGGCTCCGCCCATTTTTGGTTAATTCTCTCAAATCATCCATTTCAATAACATGTCCAATAACATATAAAATGAAATAATCGTTATACATAAAATTTGAAAACTTTGGTATAAATTAATGAAACACATAATTTAACAATGAAATTACCGATAAGCCATGATGGAAAAAGATGTAAACTAATTGCCACACAGTCAATAGGATGAAGAAGATAAAAAACAAAATCTAAAGTCGGGTTACCAAAAGAAGAAGCCTTAGGTAGGGAAGAAATAAAATTCAAATGTTGCAGACATTATGTAAAACGATGTCACAAAATTCGCTAGGGATGAAAATCAGATTTATTTACCCTTTTCTGTAAAAATCGAAAATCAGATTATTATAAATAATATCTAGGAGAATTTGATGAAAATCGATAATAATATTTAAAATAATATTTAGGAGATAAAAATTTGATAAAAAAATCAAAAAATAATATTTAAAAGATAAAAATCTCATAAAAATCGAAAATAAAATTTAAAATAATAGTTAGAAGATAAAAAAATTGATAAAAATCGAAAATAATATTTCAAATAATGTTAATGAGATAAAAGTTGATAAAATACGAAAATAATAATTAGAATAATATTTAGGAGATAAAATATGATTAAAATCAAAATTATTATTTAAAATAATATTTAGGAGATTAAATTTGATAAAAATCGAAAATAATGTTTAGGAGACAATAATCTGATAAAAAAACAAAATTAATATTTAGGAGATAAAAAAACTAATACAAACATGATAAAACTCGAAAAAAATATTTAAAATATTATTTAGGAGATATAACTTTGATAAAATTCGAAAATAATATTTAGGAGATAAAAATCTGCTAAAAGTTGAAAATTATATTTAAAATTATAGTTAGGAGATATAAAATTGATAAAATTAAAAAAATATTATTTATAATAATATTTAGGAGATAAAAATTTGATAAAAATAAAAAATAATATTTTGGAGACAAAAATCTGATAAAAATAAAAAATAATATTTAGGGGATACAATATGATAAAATTCGAAAATAATATTTAAAATTATATTAAGGAGATAAAAATTTGATAAAATTGAAAAAAAATTACAAATATGACATGAGGGTTTCTTAGGGTTGCCCTAGCGTTTCTTTCTTTTATATATAAGATTAACACACATACGGTGTCTATTTGTGATTCTCTACCTACAGCAGAATCCGATACCCATCGGATGGACCTTGTAACAAAATTGGTAATTACACCATAACTATTTTAGTTCCCGTTACTGTTGAGACGTTAATATCTTGACAAGCTTATGTATAATTAATCATTTCCTTAATATTGCAGGTAAAACGACTAGAGAAAGTGTTGATGAAATGGGACAATGGAGAGGCGAAAACGAGATTCAATTCAACTCTCTTGAATTACGAAAAGGCGGATTGGGTACCCATTCAACAAAATACGTAAGT